TGCTGATCACGGTCCTGGAACAAAGGAGAAGAAAACAGTCAGTAAACAATAGCACAAGTAAAGTTTAAAACTCCTGCAATAAAACTCCTTCAATGGGAATACTTTGGCGCCGGTGCACTGCAACTTCAAAACAAGTGCACTGGTACGTCATCTACTGACTGCGTTTGCCATGTTTTGATTTTATTGTTGCAGCAAAATTCACCACCGACGATAAAAAGTCCCAAAAGTCCTCTTCAACTCTCAACTGATGCACCCACCTTGACTGTGGCCAGGTCCTTGCCGACGTCCAGTGCGCTGATCATCCGAGCAGTCTCCAGCAGGCGATCGTACGAAGCGGCCGGCTCTCTCTTCAGCGCCGACAGATCCACCTGGCCGAGGGACTCCAGAAGAGTGCTGGTGGAGGAGGTGGTGGTGGTGGTGAAGGCAGACGACTCCTGCTGCTGCTGATGCCCATTCATTGCTTCAAGAGTGCTTCAGACAACAGTGGACTGCAATCATCATCATCGACACAGGAACAGCATCATCGGCACTGCCAAGCAAAAGTTGACTTTCTGCAGTCGGACAGCTAAACACACAAGCCGTCGTCGTCGTCGTCGGTCTCCTAGGCGACCAGGCCAGACCACCACCACAACAAGAAGAGCTCACTTATGCTGAGTAATTGCTGGTCATTAGGCGGCGGTCGTCGAGCCCTGGTGGCCACCCTACCTCTTGCCCGCTCCATCAGTGCTCCATCATCAGGCACCGGCGGTGAGCCGGCACTGCAGCTGACACTGGCCATCATCAAGCCGCACATCGTCAAGGACCCCTACAGTCTGCAGGCCATTCGCCAGATCGCCCTCCACGATGGCTTCTACTTTGTCCGCTCCACCAGCAGGGCAATGACCACCTCCGACACCGAGNTTCGCGCCCAGGGCAACTTTTCCGACCGACCGAATTTTTATTGCAGAATGACGTATTCATAGGTGAACAAATGAATGTATAAACTAAAGTTAGTGATTTGTACAGAAAGATGATTAACAAGCGAGAGGAGATACTAATCAATCTTTGTTCCTTCCTCTCCTTCCCAGGCAAGTTCTTCTACAATCGTCTGGTGGCCTTCATGAGCAGCGGCGACTGTGCTGTGCACGTACTGGCTCGTACCGACGCCATTGCACGGTGGAGGACGCTGATGGGACCGACAAAGGTGTACAGGTAAGAGGGGAAAGAGAAGATACAGCTGAAACTGATGATGATGATGATGAACATTTCTCTTGCAGAACTCGCCTGGAACAGCCGACGACGATCAGGGGCCGCTTCGGGGCGACGGACACGCGAAACGCCACTCACGGCTCCGATTCAGTGGAGACGGCGAGCAGAGAGGTGGCCTTCTTCTTCCCCGACTTTAGCATCGCCC